GGTGATGGTTTTATAGTTGCTTTTAAAGCTTCTTAAATTTCACTGAATTTAGTCTCCTGCTTTAATTATTTTATTTAATAATTATGTTAAATGTATCTAGTATTATTTTTAGACATTAAGTATTAGGTGAATTATTTTAAATAACTTTGAAATATGTTTTTAATTTATTGTAACCAAATAAAAGTCACCATTGACACTAAGCCACTTGTCTTCCTCGAATATCATTTACCTCGCACAACCCACACCCACACCCTCACCCACCCACACACACAAAAATACACACATATTTACATATACACCCAGGTGACCCTGGCGTATACGTGATGTGTGGGAATATGCAAAGTCCTGGGACAAGAAACTCGCTTAGGCACGCACCATCCGTCAAAAAAAGAAGACCCAGGGAACCCAAAGGCGGCAGGCGTTAAAGGGGGCGTGGCAGTGCCAGGGGCGGGAGGAGAGGAGGGTTTCCAAAGGGCAAGGGGCGTGGCACAGGCAAATCAAAACCGAATGATGGGCGGAACGACAGCACGGGCATCCTTCAAACAAACTGTCAGCAACTGTCAGAAGAAGTTAAACGAAACCAAAGAAAAAATAAAAAAGAAAACCAAACCAAACCAAATAAAACAAAGGAAAGTGGGTGGCGGTGCACAAAAAAGCGAGACAGAACAACATTGACAGCAGATCGGGCCAAAAACCTTACCAAAATCAAAAAAAAAAAAAAAAAAAAACGGAAAAAATGGAAGGGAAATGGAGGCTTTGTCATATGGCTTACAGCTGTTGGCGGACTTTTGCGGCACGTAGCTGTGCTCCTCTCTTCTTTTCCGACGGCGGCGGCGGTTTCATTTTATTTTTAGCCCCACAGACCGTGAAAAACTTCGAATTCCCCGAATCAAAACAATACATCATCATGGGGCGGACGCCGCAACTCGAAAAATCGAATGCCCTTTCCTTTTTTGATCCTTTTGTGAAATTGTGCATATTAAATATGTGACGGAGCGGAAATGAGAGAAAAACAGCAGGCGAAAAAAAAATGTGAAAATCATCATCAAAGTTTTCCTTTTGGAAAAACAAATATCGACTGTATAAATAAATATCGAGTTTTCTTTTTTTCGATATTTAATGTGTTTTTTCTTGAAAACATCAATATTATAAAACCAATATTATGAAAATATCGAACAAATATATTTTTCAAGCTCTAATTTTTCACTTTTGAATTTTAGACAGAATAAATATAAAACGACATTTAAAACTCCACAAAAAAGTGTAATAAACTACGTAATTCAAACAGACTTAATTAAATTAGTACATCCACTTTTTTCCCAGTCGTTTTGACCTCCAGAGAGAGTATAAAAATATGCAAAGAGGGGGACACAATTTGCGTGCTTTGATTTGACAAAGGTTTGCGGGAACCTTTGGCCTCTTCCTCGTTGAGGGTTGTCCCGAAAACCCAAACCAAAACCCTAAGCCAAGATTCTCCCAGGTTTGCTACGCCTCTCCTCAACGCAGAAATTCTTTCGACAGACGGATTGCCGCTTCCTTCATGTGGCATGGGGCATTTATACTAATTTGTCGATAATTTCGTTGAGCTCGTAAAATGCTCGCTTATGTTTATGGGACACAAAGTGGCCAGAAGGAATGGCAATGCCAATTGGACATGGGAATTGAGCTGCCTGTGACTAAGTGAGCAGGTCTAATAGACATTTTATCGATTGCCATGCACAATTATATTTGATGAGCTTTTAATTGAATTGATTTACTTTCACTTTGCCGTATAAATAGGCAGGCGGCCAGGCAGCAAGGTCGAAGGAACCGCAGGACATGCGATATGGCCTAGATATCCCCGGATAGATAAGCCCTTCGATAGCGAAAGTCGGGCTAATTCGTGGAAAAGGAATAAATGGAGCCAAGGCAACATAAGTGCTGCCATTTAAATCGAAAATTACTCTCTCAGTTATTCATGAACAATTATTTGGATATTTAATTAGGCAGAGGTCTACATTTTTCTATACACTTTTAATTTAATTTTTCTGATCAACGGGGTTTTTTTTATTTAAGTTATTAGTAACCGCATATTAATAAAGCTTTGCTATAAATGCAAAAAAATATATATAATTGAGTTAAAATCCTTTTACTAAACTCTCCCAGTTCCTCTGGTTTTTAACACAAAAACTGTACAATTTATTAGTACTTAAAGCATAAATTGAAATACTAGTATCCGGATAGAACAAAAGTGCGATCAAGTTACAAATTTGCGCTGCCAAAATGGCTGGGCAATTGTCAGCGACAGAGGCGAAAAACTTTTGCGATGCTTTATCATTTACTCGTAGCACTGTCTCGTTTCGTGTATCTCTGTTTTTAGCAGGAAGAGTTCATCTGATTTTGGCCTCCTGGCTGAATTTTCCTGTCTGAATTTTCCATCCAGCGAAAAACTCACGGCTGATAGAAATGCCAACAGCAGCCGAGAAGTTTTCCATCAGAGAAAGTTTCCATCCCATCGCAAAGTTGTAATTCCGTGCACGCCGCCTTTGGTTTTCCAAAAAATAATAAAAAGGAAAAGAAAAAAACTTTTCTCTAGCTGCCTGTGATGACTGCATTGGAAAAACAAGTTTGTTTTCATTTTTCCCCGTTTCGCATTTTCCCTTTTTGTTTTCGTTACAGTTTGTTCTTTATGTTTGATGGCCTTTGGGTTTTGCCGTCCTTTTCTGTAGCCCTCTATCTGTCTCATTCGCCATCGTATTTTTGTCCTTTTCAACGCAATATACATATATATTTTATACCAGTTATTTTACCAATATTTTACGACAATATTTCGATATATCTGACAAATTTTTATTGTTTAACAAGAGAAGAACTTTAACTTACTAGAACTTAATATAAAATAAAAATAATACAAAAATATATATAAAAATATAAAATTAAATAACAAATGAGTGTAATACTATTTTGCAATATTTTTTGCAATAATGGGTATCTGATAGTCAAGTGCCCCCGAGTTTTCCTTTTTGTTTTTGTTGTACTTTCCCCCCATTTTTTCACCCTTTTGTACTGTGACTGCAAGCTTTATTTGTAAGCTGCGAGCATAATTTCATTTTAATACTTTTTAAGCGCATTAATTACACATATACAAAAAAAGAGGAATTGAGGGAAGGAGAAGGGGAGAGTGGGGAAAAAAGACAGAGACGGTTGCATTGACATTGCCCAACCCTCTTAACCCTTGCCATCCCTGTCTCTCATTTAAGTGGATAATATGCGAGGTAATAACATCAAATGAATTGTGAGAACGCTCTCGGGAATTTTCTTTTTTTTTTCCACCCATCTCTTTTCATTTTCTTTTTTTCAAATGCAAATAGTACCTACATATATATATATATTTCTGTTTATTCAATTTGTAAGCTTTATTGTCAACGTCGTTGGTACTCGTTGCTCATTCATCTCCCGATTCCCAGGCAAAAGGGTCTTTTATTTTATACTTTTGTTGCACATTGCGTATATTACGTATACGCCTCATATAAACTGTTCATTGAGGTAGTGGAAAATGTCGTTATGAGAAGGGATTTGCCCAACCTTGATGGGAAAAAGGGTGGAGAAAAATATTCATTGTGTTGGATGGAAAATATGTTATTAACTCAGGCTCATAAACTTTAAAAATAAGCTTTTATTATTTAAAATTATCTCAAATATTTCGTATATTATTAATATTCCCTTTTGTAAACTTTATTGAAATTTTTCTATATTGCAGAGTCCGTTTCGCTAGCGTAAGACATTGTAAGCAATTTTCGGTAATTCAGCAAGCTGGTCAAAAGGAAAAGCCCTTGCCATTAATCCAAGAAACTAATTCGCTTTTAACGCCAACCTTATCTAAATGGGTTGAAAATCCCTGGAAAAAAACGCAGCTGCTGCTGCTGCTGGCTAAATCGAAACGTGTCAATGCCATAAATTTGGGCCAATCCATGAAATGCAGCGTATTTACGACCAGCTACTCCAATTGCACTAATTAACTGAGTGGAAATGGGGGAGGGACGGGCGATGGGTGGTGGGTGGTGCAGGGACAAGAGCACATCCCTTGCAAACGGCGTACAGGCAACCTTCACCTGAATGGACAAAGAGTGACGCCATTGCGACATCCGACACCAGAACCATTTTGCAATCGAGAGTCTGCTCGCAGACCGACACTGAGAGAAATTGGAATTAAAAAAAGAGATATACAATTTTTGAGACACCTAAAATTTAGGACCTAAGCCTACTTCAATTTATCAATATTAAAAATGGTTTTAATTTTGTTTCCTAAAATACATTTGAAGAATATTTATTTTGAGGTGTAAATAAAAAATATTTTAAATTTATATTTAAAACCAATTTGAAATATTATTGTTAAATGCTGAGTTATTATTATTGTTATTTTCTCAAAGTGTATCCACCAATGCCACCCCCTTTGATTAGCCGTGTGTTGTTGAGTGCATCCAAGTTGCGAAGAGGTGGTTGTATTGCATTACGTATACGTAATCAGCTTAGTTGCTGTCGCTTAATCAAATAATCATTGCCCGGCCAGCTCCTCATGCTCCCAAGTTCGACCTTCGACCAGGAGAAACCGAATCGAATCGAATCGAATCGAATCGAAATGGAGCACCCCTGTCCTGGTAATTACAAATAGTCCGGGGATCGGTCAGTCGTCAGTGACAATTGAGCGATTAGTGGGGAGTGTTGTGCTTGGGAAAACTGGACAACTGGACAACCGGACTACTGGGGAACCAGAACCCATTAAGCAGGTGTTCTAAATGGGTCATTGTTGGATGGATTGAGTCACCTCTTATTAGTGGTAATGTGGTTGGTCTAACTACCTTGAACATTTCCATACAAAATCAAGAACTAAGCAGGCGTTCGACTTCTAAATCATCAGTCTTCCACTTTCCAAGTTCAGAATTCGTCAAGGCATCAAACTGTTTAGACCAAAAATTTTCAAAATTCTTATTTCTAGATCAAATTTTTGCTTATAAAATAAAATGGAAGACGAAGGCTGCACCACCGACAAGGAGCTTTACGAAGTTATGATGACAACGCGAAAATTGTTCAAGAAGCTGGACGAGAGAATTGGTGAGGAAATGAAGACGATGGCCAAGCCAAAGAGTCAAGAGGACGACTCCAGCAGTGATGAGGTCCAAGTGGATAATGCATTCCTGAAGTACCTTCTCCGAATGGTGCAAAAGCGTCTACACGAGGAGACCCAACGATATGCCGCCCTGCAGGACGAGGTCCTGGCGACTCGGGATCGAATGGTCGCCGACCAGAAGCGCATCGCGAAGATTAAGGACAAGTTGAGGTTTCTCTGCAACATGAGCGACGAGGCCAACGAGTGGATGGACGACTTGGAGGCAAGCGAAGATAGCAGTAATACCAGCCTCTAGTGTTAATATTTCGATGGATGTGACTTTGAGGTCTGATATCTCCCCCGACTGTCCGGCAGTTTATAAACAATATAGTTGTGATTTCGATAAACCCATAGTTACTCGAGTTTCTTTTCTTGGTAGTAATGTTTTGCCGGCCAAAAAACAGTTGTTTTTTTTTATATCGGAGATTTCGGGTTTTGACAAAAATATTAATTTTTCCTTTTTGTTTTTTAGTGTAACTTGGCCAAAAATGGTCCTACACCAAAAATACATACAGTTTTGAACAGATAACAAAATAAAAAAAAAATCCATGACACTTTCCCTGTGATCTTGAAAAAATAAAATTTTTGCCAATTTTTACATTATTTTATAAGGGGGTACATCATGATATTTTTCGAAAAATGACAAAAAGAAATTAAATGCCCAGGTTTAAATGCCAATCGATTGCAATTTTAAAAACGAGTTCAGAAATGTATGACAATCCATATTTGGATCTATATTTCCATTGTTCCGGTCAAAAAAGAACTATTTTTTTGTGGAAAATTGAGATCTGGGCTTTTGGAAAAAATTTTAATTTTTTGCTGTAACTTGGGCAAAAATGGTCCTACACCAAAAATACATACAGTTTTGAACAGATAACAAAATAATAAAAAAAAACTTTAACACCTTCTGTGTGATTTTGAAAAAATAAAATTTTCGCGGAAATTTCAGTCGCTGAATTAGAATAATACCAGATATTTTTTGAGATATTTTTCTGATTTAAAGTTGGAGATTTACCTTTTTTTTAATGGACAATACCAAGAATTTATTGCCTTGCTTTGATTATTGCAACTTTGACATTTTGCTTGTGACACTGGCTTTTCTCCCCCACTTTCCAACTCCCCCACACTTTTTGTATCTAAAAGAGCTACTGCTGGGTTTTTTCAGCAGAAATTTGCTGCCGTTTGTCGGTCGCATTGTTCTTCTGGGAATTCGATTGCAGTCACTTTGACCAACTTGTTTGTTTGAATGCCTATTTATAGCCTGTCATTTGAATGGCATTCCAGGCGGGCGGCTGCCCACGCACCATTTAAAAGATATGGTGGATGGGGGATGGGGTACACTCTCTATATATGGTATGGTATATCGTAAACACATTTCCCGTTACACGTGCGGACATTTTGTTTAGTTAGTCAATTTGAATGGCTATATGTATGTGTGTATGTATGTGGATGTGCGCGCATCGTAATTACATAATGATTTATTTTCGCATACAATTCGCTCGATTTGGTTTTTTCCTCAATTCTAGATTCCGAATGTGTGTTTTCATTTATTTACATTGATTGCGAGGCCATCACATCCCAGTATCATCATCATCATTATACATTGCATACAGGAAAAAACAAGATAAAAACAAGAGAGAACGCTATAGTCGGGTGCCCCGACTATCAGATACCCGTTACTCAGCTAAAGGGAGTGCGAAAGAGATGGAGAAAAACTTTGATCCGCCGTAACTTTTTAACGAATGGTCCGATTTAAAAAATTTCTTCTACATTTCGATAGGTATTGATAAACACAATAAAACTGCATTTTTACTTTTCCAAAATATTGAAATTTTTAAAATCGTATATATGCGATTGTGGGCGTTAGAGGGGGCGTGGCACCCTTTTGAAACAAACTTGCGCTGCGTAGGAACTCCTAGAATCTGCATGCAAAATGTCAATCTTCTAGCTTTTATAGTTTCCGAGATCTCAGCGTTCATACGGACAGACGGACAGACAGACAGACAGACAGACAGACAGACAGACAGACAGACAGACAGACGGACAGACGGACAGACGGACATGGCTAGATCGACTCGGCTAGTGATCCTGATCAAGAATATATATACTTTATGGGGTCGGAAACGCTTCCTTCTACCTGTTACATACTTTTGCACGAATACAATATACCCTTTTACTCTACGAGTAACGGGTATAAAGATGATTTTCAAAAAATAAAAAGAATAGCTTAGGATGCAAAAATCGCTCTTCTCTTTATTATTTTAGTGAGCCAGCGCACTTTGGGGGAATCGGAATTAATTTGATTTATTTATTAGCTGTGTGTTATTTGTTTATAAACAATAAAAGCCCAAAGAATGCGCATTTGAGGTTTATGAACATTTTCGTAGCGCCCAAAGCGAAGCGAAAGCACCAACACCACCAACAATTATTTTTATGGCAAATATTTATCTAACAGCATTTTGGGGGCGATGGGTGGTTTTTGGTTTTTCGGTTTCCTACGGTTTGTTCGGGATTTTCGTTCGGGGGGCTGTCAAAGGCAAACAAAGGCATCGAAGGTTGTTAATGCTGAAATATTAATGTGCGTTAATTACCCGCAGACGGCAAAAAAAAAACAAAGTGAGCGGGGGCGGAAAAGTTTTATTTGGGGGTCAAGGGGCATCTGCATTTGCTCTTCTGATTTTACCCGTTCCTCCGCTCATAATCGCTAATTTTCTGAGCTTTTAAACTATCAACACTACTATCTATAAAATGGAAATAATTCCATGTATCAAAATGATATGCAAATTACACTTTTCAGGGATTGTTATTGGATCTAAAAATAATTTGTATCAAGTTCAAGGTTCCAAGGTTGAATTCTTATAAATATTTGAGTATTCAAAAACAAATGTAGGAGTGCCAAGGAAATTAAGGATGGGATATTGGACAGCTGGGCTTTATTGTTCCTCAATTACCCACCAATTTATGGTTGTCACCTTTCGGTAAAAACTTTGGATTTACAATCAAAAGTAATCGATGGAATTTCAGACATCTGTGGGTAATATTTTGTGAATGTCATGGATTTCTTATGAATTGACCATTAGCCGAAGGGTAAAGTTTTAACGTTTTAGGTATGGGATAAATGTCATGTGTGGGACAACTTTGGATTCCTATAAATATTTTGTTATTTTGTAAAAGTTTCTGCCAGTCATTGATGGACTAAGTTCAAGGTCCTGGGATTACTACTCAGTACGAATTTTTTTAATAAAAAATGCAAGGCTCCATGTGCTTAAGGTCACTAGAGATTGTTTGAATATTAATTGTAAATATTCAAAATCTCGTTCAGCGGAAAGATGACAATTAAGCTAATAGAAATTTCAATTTTTTCCCAGTTTATAGATGGGGTGTAGTGTTTATAAAATCGAGAGAGAGATATAACCGTATTCGATTCGATGGTACACATACAAATCGGATTTTGAGTTCATTTGTTCTGGTCCGCAGATTACGCATTTTGTTTATTATTTTGATGAAGTGATGTTGCTGCTATTGTTCCTCGGTCTCCTATTTGTTATTGTTAATTTATTTTTACCCATTCGCCGCCTTTTGGGGATTGCCAAGGCGACTATCAAAAAGGTTAAGCGCATCGAATTACATGCGCAGGGGCGAAAAATAATGAAGAGAAATTGAGTAAATTTAATTGCTTAATAAATATAATGAAAATACTTTTTTCATGGTTTTCTAGTATTTTTTATTAGTTATTCAGTTTTTGTATTTATTATTTTTATAACGAAGTCTATTACTTAGATAAATAAAAGGAAATCCAGTTGAAGTTGACATTTGTCTCTATTTATTTTTTTCCCTTTGAGTTTTTCCTTCTACAAAAGGCGGGCGAAGGAAAGGTCAAAGAGAGAAGCGTGGAAATAAGTAAATATAATCAAATTTGGAGTTAATGAGCGACCCGGAAATCATTTTCAGCACCATCAACAGGGAAAAACCAAAACAGAACCATAACTGTAGCATAAATTTAGGGGAAAATTCAAAGGGAATTCCAGGCGACTTTTTCCGTCATCTGTTTTTTTTTTTTCGTTTCCAGCGGCAAGGCAACGAACTTTCCGTGGGAATAGTCGGAAAAACCCAGGAGGAGGAGGAGAAGGAGAGCAGTGAAAATTAAGTGGAGTGAGCGGGATGGGAGACCAACGGCAAACAGAGAAAGCAGAGAAAGCATCCAAATATTTTGGCTTGGTCAATATTGAGTTGAAAATGAATGCCAGGCGTCTCTACCACCTCCCCCAAATAGCCAGCACAATGGTGTTAGCTTTGTTCATTGGCGAAAAAAAATTGGTGTATATATGTATAAAAAAAACAGAAAACTGAGAGGAGCGGAAAAGTTTCCACAAAGCGTACAACAAAGCAATCATCAATTTGAAATGCTCAAATGACGGAGAACTTACTTCAGCCAACACACATTTATGTGAAAAAAAAAGGAATATATACCTATAGAAAAATACCCGGTTCATTGAACCTTTTCGCAAGCTCGCGAATTGAAAGCCAAAATATTGGGTTTTTGACTTAAGCTAATAAATTGTGAATTTATTTTTCCCTATTTGATCGTTGAAGTGTGGCCAAACTTGTTTTCGAAGCATTAAGTGACCAGGCTCTACAAAAAAACAAATACTAGCTTAATTACTCAAACTTAACTCCATTTATTAATATTTTATAGTTAATAATTGAGCTGAAAAGCTCGTGAAATGAATGCCAAAATTGTGATTTTTGTTTTTAGCTAATAAATTCATTGAATAAAAGTGAGACCAAGTATTAAGAAACCGGGCTCAATAAATACTAGCTTAATTACTCAATTCCAATTCAATTATTGTAAATTCATACACCTGCAAAGCAAAGCCCCCTGTCAAAAGCCCAAAGTCTTTGAACGATACGATAATTTGATGCTCAAATCGCCATTCAAAGGCGATATGAAAAGGAAACACACTGCGAATGGGGGGAAACCAATGACAAATAATTAATTGCGCACACTTTGACGGGACGGGAGGTCCTCTTCTGTCTGTCTGTCTGTCTGTCTGTCTTGTCTCTCTGTTTTTCCGTCCCTCAGTCAGTCAGTCAGTCCTCGTCCTGTGCGGAATCCTGTATCCATTTATAAACAGCACACAAATATGTCTGATGTGCGAGAGGCTTAGTGGAAATGGAGATGGAGATGGGTATCGAGCTGCTCCTTCGGCCCCGGCACCAATTAACTTGGGCGTATTGTGTAAATAATGTGTTAGACATGGTTACACATTCATGTGCCGGCCATAGACACGTCGTTGGCATCGTCATCGTCATCGTCATCTCCGGATTCAGGACTCAGGATCCCCGGGAGCGAGGCCCCCGAAAACCCCGCAGCTATACGATTTTTGATTGCACTTGGCGCTCTAATTGAAGTCCGAGACAGGAGCGAAGAGATGTCCCACCTCCGAAATGGGGCCGTTGACATTGATCCATTCCGATTAGACGTTGAATTCTGATGCCTTCGCTGCTTGTTGGTAATTGCCATCAAATCGAGGAATAAAAAAGCCAAAATAAGAAAAGGCTACAATGGGCCAAGCACTGCGGCAAAAAGTCTATCTATCATTTGTTTACTTTAAATCAAATTAAAGCATCTTTTCTAGAATATTAAAATGTGAAATAAATGAATGGAAAATAAATCAAATAAAGTAGTCATTAGAATGAAATTACTCTGAACTTAATCATTCGGTATTAATTCGATTGTTTTCAATTATTGGAAATTTGATTTATAATTTGTTATGTTGAAATTATCGGAAAAGTCAAAACAGTTCCAAGAAGTGAAGCACTTTTGCCGCTCGAGTGAAATTGAATTCTGAGAAATGGATTTCCAAGAAGCATCATCATTTTCTCCGAGTGTAAGGAGAAGCCAAGTGGTGTCCTTCTCTTTCGATGGACTGACTTGTGTGCCATGCATGTGACGGCAGCTCAGCAGGATATTTTGTAAATCATTAGTCAACAAAATGGTGGTGATGGTGATGTGTGTTTGTGTGTGACTTTCCTGGCAAGTCTACCAGTGTGTGTGTGTGTGTGTGTGCTTGTGAGTGACGCCATTATTCTCCTCTTGCCCTCATTCTACACCCATCTCATGGGTTTATATTCCACATTCCTGGTCTGATGAGATGCGCCGCCTGCGCAAGATTGCCCTGAGTTTCGCTGTTTTGAGTGCAGTCTGCCACCGATGTCATCAGCATTACGAGTGGGTGGTCCTTGGGCGGTGCCGCAGCCGGAGGTGCCAAAAGCCACACAAGTCCAGCCAACTAAACCACAGCACTAGGGCCTCAAAGCGAATCGTTTCGAAAATCCAGATCGAAGATTTTGTGAATAATTTATAAAATGCTGTATTAAAGCAGAGGTCCTCAAAATTGCCTTATGACAGTGCATTTGCAAACACAAATAAAGGAAAATTAAGAGAATAAAATCAATGGAATTGTTGTTTTGCTTACAGCTACACAGAGAGGAATTGACGTGTGCCCGCAGGCTTGGTTTTTGATTTTACTAAAGCCAATGTGACCAGCGTATAAAATAATTAAAAAAAAAACTAAACTAAATTTCTTCTTTCACTGAATATTCAATATTCAATATTTCAAATTCGCTTATGCCTAGCTAATAATTTGCTAAGTAAACTCTTTGAATCGCCTATGAACTGGAAAAGTAGTTTATTCTTGGGCAAAATAAGGGCAAAATCTCAGTGCACAAATTGCGTGGCGAGAATTCAGTCACAGGGAATGTCTTGCTGAAGGCAGGAAAATGGTGAAAAGTTTCAGATGGAGGTGAAAGTTAGTGGGAGGGTGAAAGTGGGCGTAGGTCAAGGGAAAGGGGGTTCTTTTGGGTTGGTGGCGCGGCTAATGACGCCAACATTAGGCGGACGTTTAATGTATGTGCACGTAGTCAGGAGACTATTCCACACACTGTCTCACTTTCTCACCATCCCTTTCTCCTGCCCTCTCTCCATCTCTATCTAGCTTTGTATCTCTCTCTCGCTCGTCGCACACACTTACGTACGCATGAAAGTCAAGGCAGACAACGTCAGATGCTCGAGCATTGCATTACATAAGCGACGCAAAACTGTATGCTACACTTTTTGATGGCCACCCATCCATCTGTCTGTGTGTGTGTGTGTGTTATTTCTGGCCATGGAAAACACTGAGGGAAAATGGGGTAGGAGGGGGAAAAGGACAGCGGTTGAGGGTCGACAAGGATACGCACGGCACGCCACTCAAAAGCCATAAGCCCGGCAAATTAACATGCCCAAATTATGACAAAAGGAAAACGAGGCTAAAACAAAGGCCCCGAAAAACTAAGGCTGCAAAAATGGGCAGGGGGATGGATATTTTTCCAGGGGGTGCGGAGGGGGAGAGGGGCTGCAGACCGGAAAAGGCAAAAGTGAGATTAGAAAACTTTTCGGTTAATAACATTTTCCAAATACTCTGCAAAAGTTATTCCATCTTAATAGAGAATGGCAAACTATCGTTTTGTAAATGATAGTTTGCTGCCAACTCATTGAAAGCATCAAAGTAATTAAGTTTATTAAGGTCATATAACAAAAAAAACTTGTAGAGTTACTTAAGATGGTTTGTTCCAAATAAGAACTTAATTATTTACAATAAATCAAGAAAAAACCTCCTATTTTGCATTTAAATATAAATGTACTTTCTTAAGAAATTTGGTAAGTATAACCAAATTAATGATTTAATTAATTGCCATTTAAATCCGGATCATTTAAATCGGTTTAACCTTTTTTGTCCGTTTTTTGCTGGCAGTTTTCAGTTTGAGGGAGCTTCAAGTGCAGATTACTCATACGCCCCGTAGACCGAAGCTGAAAATGAAAGTGAAACCGAAACTGAAACTGAACTGACTCACCAAACCAGCCGCACACGACATTTAACTGTCATAATCAGGGATGCGGACACGGTAGCCAACAAAACATCAACTGGAACATAATGGGCAAGTTTTGGACAGAATCGGGGGAACAGAAACCCCTTAAAAGCCAAAATAAAAAAAAAGAGGAAAAAAGTACAGGGAACCGCAGTCGCCATAGTCATAGTTTAATATCCATTTAACATGCTCGTGTTGTTGCTTCTGCTTTTCACTGCACAAAAAAAGTCTTCGTTTGAATCAGAAATTAATTCTTGAATTAAGGGTTAAACATCTGCGTTTTTGGAAATGTAAATATCACCCCTGCTGTTTATTTGTTTGTTTATTTCAATGAGCAATGGTCCGTGTTTGTTTACCAAATTCCCCATAATCGATCACAAATTTAACAGTTTACATTTCACTGCGTTCTGATTTGGGAACAGTTTGATTTTTAATATTTATAAGAAGTGATATTTGGAACAATTCAAAATATATTTTTTAATTTTATATTTTTAACACATTTTTCTCAGTGCTCTCGGTAAGTCGGGGGAAATTCCCAAAGTGATTATATTAATACAACATGAGCCACAAGTGTGTTGCATACATTGAGGCGTGCCGACTTGAATCCATGACAAAACTTTTACCCCATTGTATGCGTGTGTATCTGTAGCTGTAGCTGTATCTGTGTATCTGTATCGTGTGCGCTTGTGTAGGTGCGGTATATCTGTGTGTGGGCAATGTGCGTGTGTGCCATTCATGGCATATGAAATATACATAAACCAACGGAGCCAACGAACCAACTCTAATAATAATAAAATAATAAAAACCAAAACAAACTTTTCACCATGCTCAAAAGTTGTCCGGAGGTTTTTGCGCCAAAGAAGTAAAAGATGCGGCCAAGAAACTAAAAGAGTCCTAGGACACAAGTGAAACTTTAAAACTGCGATTGCGATTGCCCGCCACAATCAATTCTTGAAAAAGATTTTGGGTTTTTGGGTAGTGCGAATAAATTTCCTTAATTTGTTAAAACATTTAAAAATATATTATTCAATTATTTCAATTTCAAATTAATAATTTTACTTACCTCAACATTTGGTTTAAAGTAATGGGCTTCAGTTTATGCAACAAACTGCAAAGAGATAAAAAAGAAGATATATATTAAAATCTGAATAGCTTGCAGGATGCTCATACACACACACATTTCTCAGGTCCCTCAGCTGCTGCAGTTTTGGCCTTAATTTTCCAAATCAAACAAAATAAAGCATAAGGAAGGAAAATACGAGCAGCCACACGAGGAGCAGAAGTATAATGCTTTTTTTGTGTGTGAGTGAAGGTCATCCATGTTGCATCTCTAAATGATGCCACTGCCACCCACAATTTGCCCCCACCCACACACCAAGATAATAACACACACATGCAAAGCGGTGCCTAATGAACTAAATTTACATTTTTCAGCACAAGTTTTCATTGCACTGTAAAATAATTAGCAAGCTAAGTAATGAATTATATATGTTACACAATTATTGTTGAAAATTAAAAGGAAAAAAGTAAAAACATAAACTTTTCAGGACTCTGGCAAATATTTAATTTATTTATTTTTTAAACTATTCAAATAAGTTTTCTAAGTATTTGGCTGTGTTTTAGATGAAATATACATTTTAGATTTATTTATAAGACTCTTTTTGGCTATTAAAATAAATTTCAAGACTTTTATTATCAGTAGAGCTTTAAAATATCGGCAGTTTGTTATTTCCCGATCTTTAATGTGTTTTCCCTTGAAAATATCGAAAATTTCGATAATTTTCCAGCTCTAAATTGCAGTGTATTAATCTTGCTGCCGAGTATTTGCCTTTGGTGTACGCTGTATGTTTTCTGCTCCAGCTGCCAGAACCCCTACCCTTTCCCTCCTGCCTTCCCCACCCCTAAAAACCACCCATTGCCTTGCCCTTGCCTTGAAAAATCCCAAAAAAAGGGGGGAAAAATGGAGAAAACTCAGCTGGCGTTCTCTGTTCGCTGTTTATCTCGCTCGCTGTGCACATTAACCTCTTTGTTAATCATTTACAAACAAATGCAAATAAAATAAAATACAGCAGCCCAGGTAAAGGTAACGAAGGCAGCAAAAGCAACAAACAGCGATGACGACGACGACGGCTATGCAAATAAAAAAGCTGGCAAATGAGCAGCGAAATTGCAAAAAGGGCAGGCGGCCGCAGTGGTGGAGGAAGAGGGGTTGAAGGGGGTGGAAGGGGGGAAAATTCCGGGGGGTTACGGCCTGGGATAAGCTCTCGAGCTTTACGGCATACACAAAAATACGGGGCGGCAAGACAGCGAGTGCCACGCCCACACACGATATTGGGTTAATACACAAAAAAAAAAAAACAAAGAACATTTAAAACAAAGCTTAAATATTCTTCAGTAAATTTCGTAAAAAAAAATATTATTTTTTAAATATTAAATAAATATATATTTTCCAGACAGTTTTGACAATTTAATTATATTTGTTGAAATGTTTAAACATTTAAGAGTCAAATATTTTTTTAGACAATATGAAAAATGGTATTATATTTGTTAATATTTTTTCCAAATCATTTAAATATAATTCCACATATAAAACTGATTAAACAAAGAAAATTGATTTACAAATTCTGACATTGTATTTATTTATAAGACTCAAATACCTATTTTATTTTCCCGTGTACATTTCCTTAGTTTTCCTGGACATTCCAAAAATGATTCCACAGTTAAAAAATTCATCTTGAATCGCTGAATAATTCAGCGAAACTTTTGTGACTCTTTTCACTGCAAATTGCATTTTGGTCTGGTCAAAAACCAGAGCTCCTGTGTGTTGACTTTTCAGCAAACTTTTAATCAATGGTGGCAAGGGGAGGGGGTTGAGATGGTGAGCTGGTGAAATGGTAAAATGGGGTTTTCCACAGCGTTCCAATTTCCCAGCTGCTTTCATATGCAAAAGATACTCGACTTTATGCTGCTGCTGCTCGGCTTGTTCATAATTAGTTTGATGATGTTTGCAGTCAACCTACTTCCTCGTTTTCACTCCCACTTTCTTTGCCTCTTTGCCAGCTCCCCGTCTTTAGCCTCCACTCCCTTTTGGTTTTCGGATTAGTGAGTTGCCAAGGCTCAAAAAAACATTCATTCCGCCGCCCTAATGATATTTTAATTAAAACTATGCCAAAATTTCAGAGTTGATAAAAGGTGAGAGCTACTTCTTACCCCTTTAATTTTTTTTAATTTAAAAACTTATTTGGGTAAATTAAGTGTAAACCAAAAGGTAATTCAAAATATTTTTGAATAGCCTGCCATAATTTTGGAATTTACAGATATAGAGCAAATGCCATCTTATTATATTTAAGAGGTACCAAAAAATAAGTACTCATGTAAATAATTACCAAGCCACTTTCCTGTCCCTTTGTCGATTGGTCATTCAGTCACTCAGTCCCTTTGTCATTTCGTCAGTTGGTCAATCAAGCGAAAGCAGCGGTTTGGGGAAAACCTTTTGGCTTTTCACGCAACACGGATGCTTTAATAAAATTGTTCACTTTATGTGTGTGTGTGTGTGTTTTTGGGCCTGATTCGATTTTCGTTGATTTCCCAGAAAATTCCACATTTCCCACCCACCACCACCCCACCCCGCTTTTCCGAGCCGGTGCCTTTGGGTCTTGGGTTTGTTGAATTTGTTATTCGCTAGCCTCCTTGTTGCGGCGGCAATCTTTGATCAAATCGAAAGCCATGAGATACTTCTGGATACTGGCTGGCAGAATACCTTGAGATACTTTCGCTTCAAGTGCTACTTGTACTTGTATCTCCCGAGGAAAGTGATGCGGAAATCGAGGAGAAGCCACAACAGGCAGTGCAGGAGCTGTTGGAACAGCCAATGGATGCGGAAAACCGACTGCTGGCCATCAGGTTCTTCAATCTCATGCTGGCGAGACTCTGGCGCCGGCGAAGAGCCGAAGTCTGTGACCTCCACACTCTGGTTCGCAAGTACCAGGCTCATGTGAGTTCAATAAAAGCACTCTTCAAGCAATTACAAGTCTGATTTCCAAGCAGGCCGCTCGAACCCAAACGGAGCTATTCACCCGAAACCAGATGATCTGCCTGGAGCAGCGTCGTGGGGAACAGCTGACCCATCAGCTGATGAGGGCCATCAGTCGCGTCCACGTGTCCATGGAAAGCTGCGCCCAGCTGGACAGCGAGTTGCAGCAGGTGAGAATGCGGGAGGCCACACTGCACAACGAACTGGAGTCCAAGTCGCTGGAGTGCGAGTACTTCTCCGAAATGCTCGACACCTGCCGCTCCGAAATGTTCCGCGAGCTGGCCAAATACCGGGAGGGAGCCACCGAGTTGGCCAACCAACAGAGGCGAGCCCTCGAATTGGAGCGCGAGAACGCCCAGTTGGAGGACGAGCTGCTGACGATCAAGGACCGGTTTCTCCTGCAGAATGACCAGATGTCCGTGGCCCTGGGCGAGAAACAGGAGCAGCTGAATACCGCCTATGAGACGCTAAAGAACTGCGAACAGGAACTGGCCAAGCTGGAGCTGTAAGTTGTCACTCCAATACCACTTTTCATCCTTGAACTATAAAAATATTAAATTAATATAATTTGATGGATCTTTAAAGGATTTTTCATATTATATCATAAGATACGACATATGACATAGTAAAAGTGCCTTAAAATATTAAACGACCTCTTTAAAACTGACCTACTTTCAGGTCGGATATTTGAAAATCCTTTCTCAGTTGGTACCTATGAATTATGTACGAATTTCTGGTTTTAACCATTTAACCTTCATTTTGGAAAAATAACATTTTCGTCAATTTTCATTTTTTTACATCATAATTTTTTGCGAAAAATTGCTAAAAAATAAAATGTAATTAAATACCATTCTATTGGAAATGTAATCACGAGTTCAGAAAGGCATGGCAATCTATAATTGGAATAATATTTCCATTGTTACGGTCAAAAAACGAATTCTTTTTTTTGGAAATTTTGGGATTTTGGTTTTTGACAAAAGTATGATAAAATATATATTATCTCACATTTACCCCCAGGAAATACAACGAGGCACTGCGCCAGAGCGAGATCGATGTGGAACTGCAGAAGGAGATCTCGAATCTGAGGCGGAACATGGGCGTGGCCCGATGCCTGATCTTCTATCTGACGGCCCGTGAATGGGGAACCCTTCAGGGTTGCGTATACCACGTGGTGGCCGGAACTCTCGACTGTCTGGCGCCCTCGTTTTCCACACCGCCGATGGCGGACAATCTGCTCCGAATGGCGTTGGCTGCCATCTTCCTGCTATTTGCCATGTACTGAGTTGAATACGGATACGGAATAGAGTTTTCGATAGGCGAGCAGCAGTGGGGGTTCGGGGATCTTGTTAGAAAATTCAGGACACACGAACACAAATTTGTTGCACACACTTATTAGATAGCATTTCGTTTTTTTTTTTTGTCACAGTATTTAACTACAAAGAACAAAAAAAATTATAATAAATTTTCCCCTAGCCTCAGAATCTAAATTGGGATTTATTTAAATATATTTCAGATATTCTAGATTTTAAAATTTGCTAATTATGTAAAAATTAAATAAATAAAAGAATGTTAAATAAACTGCAATTTAATGCTGTGAATTATACAAATTCCAAGAGAATACAAAAAAAAGAAGGCAACTCAAAGTTGTTTGCGTGCATGTCCATTTCCCATTTGTATTTTCCACCTCAATTGATTGCAATATCTGAATGTGACTGTCCGAATCCTTTATTATTTGGTTTGCGGTCGACCGCGAAACACACAATTCATTCTAATTTCGAAATGGTGTTCAAACACGATTGACAGTTCGTTAGTGAATTACTCGACAAAAAGTTCTGACTATTGGATTGTATCTGTATCTGTATCTGTATAACAAAAAGTGAATAGCCTAATAACAAAATATATTGATTCGAATTTAATATCTTTTTATTTCTAACATTTCCAGCTTCTTTTTAAAATAAATCAATATTTATAATATTATTTTATATAATAATCATAATTTCCTTTATAGTTAAATAGTGATTACCACTCTATTTATACACCGATTTTATTATGGGTAATTTCTTTCTTTTTTGCGACGAGTAAAAGTGCGGAAGAGCCTTACAGAAAAATTACGCATACGCCGCGTGCTCCGTTCGACGATTGCCATTCATTGGAGGGCCCAATGTCATCCGAATTACTGAATTGCTGAACCAACTCAAGCGAGGTGAACTGAGTCGGGAGCACAAAGGCCTTAACTCGATAAATGCATAATACAATGCGAACCATAATTGTCGCAATGGGTGTGAAAATGCGAATGGGCCTGGTGTGAATATTGTGTATCCATCCAAATGGATGTGTCAAATGGATGCGTTCATCGGACAACCGCTTTAATTAAACAAACTAATCTGTAATTGGTTGGTTAATTCGATTCTCATATATTTTGCCTATTTATCGACGAATATAAAACTACGAAAAAAAAACACCTGCACTCTGGACTCTAAGTTCTATATATAGACCCAAAACAAAGCGATGTTCTATATTCACAGCACAGTGCTGAGGTGAGGGGATAATATCGTGTTTGGCCCTCCAACGCTTTATCTTTCAACTGGTAATCCTCGGCGATTTTTGATAATTTATGATAATTCAAGTTTATTTACTGCATACAAGACCATAAATTGTTACCAAGCGATTTCCATGCGAGAGATAACAATATTCCCGGAACTGGGCGGACATACAAGCATTTATTATCTATTACAGAATTACAGAATGGGTTTGGGCTTAATTCCTGGATCACTAAATATAATGGAATATAATAATTGAGCCCCTGGAAAAGGGCATATGACATCCATATGTTTTTTTTTTATACAAAATACTTGTGTTATGATGTGGAGAATTTTAGTTTATAATAAAATTATGACTCAGTGGACATGTGCGTATGAATTAAAAATTCCCAGAATTTTAAAAGTGATATTGAAGTACAGTTTTTAATTTGAGACTTGGGAAGTTTTTTTAACTTTTTTTACCGAAATTATTATTTTTTTTTTTAAATAAAAGTAAATAATAAAAAGTAAGGTTTTTTTTTTTTAGTGTACTCTTCCATCGAGTGTTTAACTTACGTATTTAATTAATTGGCTCCGGCTTTTGCTGTTTTGTTTTTGCTACCTATTTTTGTTTGATACTTTTGTTTATTTATATTTGTTTATTTATATTTGTTTGTCTTTTCCCGCCTTGCGAATTTCAGTTTGAAGAGCATTGCTCGACTTACAGTTGATCAGTCGGCTCACTCTCTCTTTCCTCGTTCTTTCTGCGCTCTCTCTCCTTTCTCTCTCGCCCTTTCTCACAACAGGTGACACCCGAATGTTTTTTGTTGCACTCTTTTGGTATTCATCACCTTACACAAAATAAAAGCCATTGCAAAAACAAACGACGATCGCAATGAAAATTCGCACAGAAACAAAAACAAAAGAACAAGGGGGGCGAATACAATTGAAAAACTTAACCTGTGCGAAACCAAACGAAACTGAAACCAAAACCAAAACGAAACCGCGAAACACGTTGGCTGCGGAGAGAGGCCTTTCCCACTCTTCCCCACTTTTCCCCCGTTTTTATCGCGGATTACTGTGTGCGAGCGGAGCGGACTAACGGGAAAAGCTCCGGCGGACGACCACTGACCAACTGAGAACGGAGAGCCGCCGCCGGAGAAGTGGGCTCTCGGAACTTGGAGAGTTTATCTCAGGTACAGTGGGCACCAGTCAGGAAAGAAGTACCAAATGCCTAGATGTTAACATTTAAAAATACATAATAGGTATCTGATTTTAAAACGATTCTGTTTTTGTTATAATAATTTAAAAATAAATAAATATTTTTGCAAATCCGACTATTAAAATATTCTATTCTATTCTATAATATTCTAAATATTCTATTCTTGTATATTTTTGTAATATAAAAAAAAAACACTTTTATCCCTTGACCAGTGACCACTGTACGCTCTTGTTGCATATCCTCTCCCTCTCCCCATCTCGCTCCCTCTGTTTGCGTGGGTGCTGATCGTGCGAGTGAGAGCAAATATGATTATTGTTCTTTCGCCTGCTCCCCCGCTCTCCTTCATCTGCCTCCTCTCTCAGCCACCCACCGAAAGTGCGTGTGTATTGGTGCGATGAGTGTGCGACGGCGGTCGCTGTAACGGTTTGTTTGTTATTTTTTTATTATAGCTTTATTGCACAATCCCATGCCACCCACCACCCACCGCCCATCGGCACCGCCCCCTCGTCCCCCTTTGCTCGGTTGCAGGCCAAACAAACAAATGGAAATGGGAGAGGGAGAAGAAAGCTTCTGATCGCCACACTTGCCACAAAAAGTACGCCACTGCAATGTACAGTGAGGCCTCGTAAAGGCCTCTTTTTTATCTTAAGAAAAAATAATGGTTAATTTCATATCTAAGTAATAACAATAAAATTTATTTAAAACCCGGTTTAATTTAAGATTTTATTTAACATTTTAAAACGTGTTAAGTTAATTTTTGTGGCTTTTCCAAAACTAATTTAAAAACGTGACTCATTTTAATGGCTATTGTTTTGTATTCAGGTCTCGGTTAAATATTTTTTTGGATTAAAGTTCGTGAGTCATTTCTTAAAATTCATATCAAAACGCAAACGGTATTCAAATGGACTACAGTGGCACTCAAATAATGGCGAAAATGTGTTTTCGAATATAAAATAATTTAGGTACGTTAATCTAAGAAAACTGCTTAAGATTTGTTCCATCTTTCAATACAATTAATAATTATATTAATATTAATTTTTCTTATTAATTTTGAGCTTTGTTTTCAGTGCACTTCAGCTGCGTCGACGTCGGCAGAGGGCGAAACAAGTGGCCATTGCGAGTGCGAGCAGGACGGGCGGGCCAGGTGACAACGGGTGCGAGCGAGAGGGCGTGCGAATTTTTGTTTGCTCTGCCGACGTCGTTTTTTGCGTGTGTAAATTTCAGTGCTTCAATTTTATGTGTGCTTCCCTCTCCCCCGCTTTATTATCCTCCTCCCCATCCCCATTCCCATCATCCGACTCTCCCCCTCCTCCTTTTATTCGTGTTTGCGTCGGCGTGCGCGCAAGTAAATTTCTTCTAATTTAATATTTTGTTTACATTATTTATTCATTTACTTATGTATTTGCGTAGCTTCCTCTTCGCGCGCTTGTTTGTTTATGTATTTCACCTGGTCCTCCTTCTCTTCGTCTGCTCCTCCTCCTCCCCCTTTTCGCTCCCTTTTTCCGCCCATCTTCATGGCCAAGTTTACGTTTTGGCTAATCATTTACAATTTAGACCTCGATCGGTTTTTGAAAAAGGGGGGTTTTTTTCGAAATACCAACAATCAATTTGAATTTCCGGCACAGAAGTAATATTAAATCAAGAAGAATTACAACGTGGATAAAAATCCTATTGTATACTTTTAATTTCCACATATTTTAATGGAAAGCTGTAACAAAAAACTAGAGTTCTCTTGAAATAAACAAAAAGTTAGCAAAGTAAAACAACAGATCTTATTACCTCCCCATAAACAAAAGGTTTTTGTTATTCCTAAGAAACTTCCAATGGCTTACAAGAACTTTAAAGGTTTATTTGCTGCAAAACATATACAAATCTTTAACTGCGAAAACTAAAGGTCTGGCTTATGTGATCCCAAAGCTCAGATTTCGTTTAAGCTAAAAACACTCGGCTTTCTTTAATAAATTTAGAAGTTTAAATAAGCCAATAGTTTAAATGGGGTTTCCCAATTACTTGTAGGAAACCAAGGAATTCTTAACTTTAAGATTAACTAAAAATACAATAATAATACAGACTTTTATAATAGTGGTAAGACAAATATTTATACATTTTCGCGAATTTGTTGAAAAAATGTATTTTTATCATTTATGTTTTTATTTTTGGAGTACTTTAACGCATAACTAATTTTAGAATTAAAAACAAAAGTTTGCTATTTTAAGGACACACTGTGGCTCAGCTGAAAATCTTGCAGGATGTTGGCTTAAATGCGGCGCCTAAAAGAGGGCTTTAAAAACTAATTTCGCCTTTGCAACCCCCACAGCACACAAACACACAAAACTTTTAAATATGCAAATCAACAACAAAAATATACGCATTTTCGCAATGCTCTTCTTACCTTTGATTCTCCCCCTCTCCTTTCCGCTTTTTCCTCTCCTTTGAAGCTTCCTTCTCGTCAGACAGACAGACGTTTGTGTTTGTTTGACTTTGATTCCGTTCTGTTGATTTGTTGTTGCTGCCTTTTGGTTTTCCTTTTTTGCACTTAAAAAACTTGCACCGCAAAAAAATTCGAATTGTTTACCACGCGCGAGTACAAAAGTTCTCGGGAAACCAAATCAAAAAAAAAAACAGAAAAACAAGAGCGCAAGGGCAAAAAGGAGTGACAAAAAGCGCGTGTTGCGCTGATTTTTTTTTGATCCTAAAACGAAGGACTATTTGTTTTGACTTTAATCTGCGGTTTGAATTTTGTGTCTTGCTTCCGTTTTTTACCCGGAATTTTGGCCGTTTTTTTTTGTTTGTTTTTATTTTGTCTGTTGTTGTTGGTTTCCGCAGCCCAAATGAAAATTCGCGTCCGTTTCGTTTTCCTTTTTTCCCTAAAAAATCTCAAAATCTCAAATCTCGATATTTCCCTAAAAAATCCCATTGCCAAGAACGGCGTTGCGTCAAACGTAAGCAAACGTAAGTGCCAGTTTTACGTAACACCGGCTCTCCGTCATTAACTCAGAGAGTTGCCAGATGAAAATTCCAATTTGGCGGAAATATTAAACTTCATTTTTTGTTGTAATAATGTATTAATTGCAATTGATTAATGTACAATTTTATTTTATTTGCGGTGTAAATCAATGTTCTGTAATTACAGCGTGAAGTGAAAAGATTTTCGATTCTGAAACTCCTGAGCTTCGAACTCCACTTGCAAAGGAGCAGGAGTATTTTCTCTCTTGAGCTAAAAAGCTCAGAGCTTTATTCCCGGGATAAAATGGTCTAAAAGGACACTAGTGCTTTTTATCGGGGAAATTGGATAGGCTGGTTTCAAAGAAGATTTATTTCTATTATTAGCATAATTAAATAAATAAATACATAATATTAAAAAGATAATAAATTGATTAGTTGAAATTCCGCCAATTGCGATATTATTTCCCTTGTTAAATTTTATAGTATCTAAAAAATCAGCTTAAACATATAATTGTTTATTTTTTACTTAATAAAATTATTTAAATTTTAAACTGGGCGCGCAAAAGCTTAAAGTCAATTGATCTGGTAACTCGGCTGCTAAGGCCACCTGCCTATCGATAGGGGTCAGCTGTTTCACGTGCCTATCGTTTTGCTTGCACAACAATTTTGCGGCGTTTTTCCAGAATTTAAGGAATTTTCCCCATTTTACTGAAACAAAATGCGTCTGACGAATGTTTTGTTCAAGAAAGTGAAGAGCAAGTAAGTCAAATTGCCTGCCAAGTGGGAATTATTGCTAATAATAAAGGGTTTCACAGGCGAATTATGGTGGTGCTGGAAAGTGTGGTCAGCGGACATCAATATAATGCCTTTCGCGATCGTTTGGCCGACAAATTGGAGATAATACGCTTCGACCCGTACAGTGAGTACTGCCTACAAAAAATCGGAGCTTAAAACATTTTAAAAGCTTTTATTTTAACCTCTTAAAATGGGATTATTTAGAATGATTTTATAAAAATTCCAGAACTGTTTATAATAACCTTAAAAAATATAATCTTATTTCAATACAAATAGTTTTAATACACTATTTATTTTAAAAATGAACTGTTTTCCTTAATAATTTGAAGGATTTTATAAAAATTCCATAACTTTTTAAAATAACCTTAGTTTTAATACACTTTATATTTAAAAAATATTTATAAGGACTTTATAAAAATTCCAGACTTTTTTTGTTATTACCCTTAAAAATATCATCTTATTTCAATACTAATAGCTTTAATACACTATTTATTTAAAAAATGAACTGTAGTCCCTAATATTTTCAAGGATGTTATAAAACTTCCAGAAATGTTTATAATACCCTTCAAAATATCATATAATTTCAATATTAATAGTTTTAATACACTATTTATTTAGAAAATCATATGTATTTCTTAATTTTGATTATTTCAGTGATATTACTGATCTTATGAATTGAATAAATCTTAATAATTTACTTTCTTTTTCCAGTTCAACAGGAGAGTCTCTATCGCGAACGCAAGAAAATCCGCAGCGCCTAAGGAAATCCCACTAAATGTCCTGATTTTCCCAGTTTAAGTTAGTGCAAATAAAATACAAAATCAAATCAGTTAAACAAAACGATATATAATATATATTACAAATGTAATTGGTTTTCCAGCAAGACTTGAGGATTACAAAGATGATACAATAATTCACGGGGCTTATAGATAACTTTACTGCTTTTGGTTCTTTAAGAACCCCTTCTGGATTTCACAGGCTTTTCCCAGACATTTCTCTTTCGTATCTTAAAGATGTTCTACAATTTATTAACGAATCTCCGCTAGATTTCCTCCTAATTGAACGGCTTTTCGGTCATCAGGAGACCGCGTTCCCACAGCGCAGTGACGACCTCCACCTTGCGGGCCGTCGTCTCCAGCGGCAACTGGGCGATTGTGAGGTAATACGGATATGCGGAGATGAGCAGCGAGACGGCGGCCGCCTCCTCGGGCAGGATCTCCATGAAGATGGGCTCGTACTTGCAGTACTCGAGCGCGTTGTCCACGTGGTGATAGATCCTCACGCTGCCATCGTCCTCGGTGACCAGACGCAGGATATTGGCGCGCAGCAGGCGCACCGAGGTCTCCTCGTCGAACTCATAGTCGCAGATGCAGTTGCCCTGCTCATCGGTGCTGCTGCGCGAGCCGAAAACGGTGCGCAGCTTCTCCTCGGGCAGAATGGTCGGCGGCAGCGCCTCGTGCTGGAACTTCTTGGCCAGCTGATCGACAGCCGCATCGATTTCCTTCTCCGAGGGCACCAGAGCCGTGGCCACCAGCTGCTGGACTCGCTCCACCATCTCCCTGCGCTGCTTGCTCTTGTTCGACCGCTGCGCCTCGCCCAAAACATGAAAGGTGTGCAGCGGCAGGCCGCGACGCAGCGCCATTCTGTTCTCCACCGCCCTCTTAATGACAATCGGCATCAGTTTCTCGACCAGATTGGCGTAGGCCTGCTGCTGGTACACACTCAGCGTGATGTGCAGCGAGTGCTGCCCCTCCTCGGTGATGGCCTGATGCACGGTGCCCCGCGGGAAGTACAGCAAGTCGCCTGCCTCGAGCACCTCGTCCAGAAGCGGCTCGCCCAGCTGCCCCTGATCGTAGTTGCCCGACGAGATCCTGGCCAGCCGATCGGCCTCACGGGGCGGCTCGTACAGCCGCCAGCGCTTGCGTCCCTCCACCTGGACGACGAAGGCCTCGATGTCGTCGTAGTGCGGCGCAAATCCCTGGCTATTCGGCGGCGTTAGGTAGACATTCGCACCGACCAGGCAGTGGAAATACTCCTGCATTATGCTGCACACCTGCCGCAAACCGGGCAAATAGGTGGAGGGATTCAGTATGCGAATGCTGCAGCCCTCGGAGTAGAGGCCCCAAACCACTGGCGGCATGGCCCTGCCCTCGGGATTCAGCGTCTCCCGCCTGCCGTTCTTGTAGCTCGTCACGTCCAGGTTGATGGTGAAGTCCAGGCGATGACGGATCAGCATCTCGTCGATCATCTTGAAGGATATCAGGTCGCTGTAGTACTTGGGGTTCTTGCGCTGCACCACGCAGGCGTTCTTCTCCCAAAAGTCCGCGAAGAAGTGCTCGGTCTTGACGGGATTGAGGATCCACTGCAGGATGCGGCGACCCTCCTCGATGCTGTCGGTGTTGTGGGCTTCCTGGGGCAAGGCGGGCGTCTCCTGCTGCTCATCTTCAGGCTCTGGCTGTTCCTGCTTTATCTGGACAGGATTATCTTGCTTTTGCGGTGGCTGGGACTTGCGTTTCTCGGGCAGCGGGCAGGATTTGGCGGGACCCGAGGCGGCTGGCAGGGATTTGCGCACCAGGGGACAGGCCAGAGCCGCTCCGCCGTTCACCTGGACCGGCGAGGTGTGCTCCAATCCCTGACTGCGTCGCTTGGCGGCTCCTTTGGCGGCCTTTCGATTATTGTTGCTGTCCGCTGGCGGGGAATCCTCCTCCTCCTCCTCCTGCTGCTGCTGCTGCTGGCGTCTCTTGCGATCCGTGGGCCTGGCCGCTTTCGATTTGCCCTTCATGGAGCGGGCTTCCACTTCTGGCGAGGATTGGTTGGAATCCCCTGAGCCATTTTCAGTGGCCCGCTCAAATTCGCTGGTCACATAGTCCTCCAGCGCCTGGCGTCGCTCCTTCTGTTCCTTGGTCAGATTGGCGCTGGGATTGAGGAGCATATCCATATCGGCCATATTGAGATCCGACTTGGCAGTTTTCTTGGCTTTAGCTGTACCGTTAGTCGGGCTTTTGTGCTTTTTCCGGGCGCCCTGGGCTTCGGCAGCCGAAGATGGCGCCGCTTTTGGCATTCTCACAGGGGTTTCTTAAGGAAAATGAGGTTTATAACAAAGGCTTTTCACTGCTGCCATGCACCTGCAAAAAAGGGGGACAATTTACAGGATGACGTTGTTATTTTTGGCGACAAAATGTACAACTTTTTAAATGTCTCCTGCACGTGCTTACTTTTACAGTTGTTATCGCCGGTGGCTTATCGGCTAATCGATAGGCAGAAGGAGCTGCCATATCATTGGAATGCATGTAAGTACAGTGGAGATTGGATAGTGTCACTTGAATTAAAATATATAAAAATATAGTTATTTAGTTAATGAAACAAATATTAATTACTCAACTTAGAGATAAACATATAATTAGTTAATAAATTTTAATCAATACATTAGTGTAGTTACCTTGCAGTACCCACTGTACTTGCAATTACTGACCATTTTCCCGCGGTCTGGCAGCCTTGTCTCACCAACGAACAGCTGATCGAACCGGCACAAAAGTTGCGAAATTGAATCCTTGTTAATAATATTGCAACATGTCCGATTCGGGTGCGGAAAAAGCCGAGAAGGAGGCGGAACTGGAGCTGCCCGAGGATGTGGATACCGCCAAGCTGCTGGAGACCACCGCCGCCCTGCAGGAGGACGAAGATCTCGCCAATATCGTGACCGCCGAGGAGTATTTAATGTGCAAGGATGTGGTCCTCTTGGAGTACGAAAAACAAATGTTTCTCGATCAGGTCCAGGCGGATGGTCTTCTAGTTTGCGCCAAGTGAGACTATGAAACTATAGCCGTATGCCAGATTAATTTCGATCTATAATTCGCACAGGGGCCTAAGTTACGAGCGCGTTTTGATCAACATCCTGAAGGCCTACAGCGATTCCGGGAATCTGGTGCTCGTTATCAACAGTTCCGATTGGGAGGAGCAGTACTACAAGTCCAAAATGGAACCCAAATACGTCCACGAAGTGGCCAACACGGCCACTGAACGGTAAGGCCCTCGATCTATAGTCCTAAGATCGGTTTTGGGGATCATTCTTATCAAGATTTAAGGTCTTAAAAACTGAATATCTTATTTACAAATGAAAATCATACTGATTTGGTATAATGATGATGATTATGATTATAATCTGTTATAGATTTGCAATATCATTCATATTTTATACCATAGGATCTAAACAAAATATTTATTGCTTAGTATTATTTTACCTTTAACGATTTATGTATATTCGAAATATAGGTATATCATTAAAAACTTATTAACTTATTTATAAATGAATATCATACTGATTTGTTATGATTATTATATTATAATCTTTTATAGATTTACAAAAACATACATATTTTATACTATATGATCTTAAGAGCAGATCTATAGCTTAGATCTTAGATCTATTTAACGATTTAAGTGTATTAGAATTATAGATATATCATTAAAAACTTAAAGAGCTTCCCATCTCTTGCCCTAAGATCGGTTTAGGGATCTTTCTCATCCAGATTCGAGGACTTCAAAAACTAATAAATATCATTAACTTTTTTATAAATGAATTTCATACTAATTTGGTATGATTATTATATTATAATCTGTTATTTGATACTTAATCTTTGATCTTAAAAACAGATCTATGGCTTAGTATTATTTTTATACATTCATAGATATCATTAAAAACCTAAAGCTTCCCTCTCACTCTGATTTGTGATTAATTTCTCATAAATATCCTCTTTTTCTCTCCCTAGAGAGCGCGTTTATCTCGAAGGCGGCCTGCAGTTCGTCAGCACCCGCATCCTGGTGGTGGATCTGCTGAAGCAGCGTATTCCCATCGAGCTGATCAGCGGCATTGTGGTCCTGCGGGCGCACACCATCATCGAGAGCTGCCAGGAGGCGTTCGCCCTGCGCCTGTACCGCCAGAGGAACAAGACCGGGTTCGTGAAGGCTTTCTCCAGCAGCCCGGAGGCCTTCACCATTGGCTACTCGCACGTGGAGCGCACCATGCGCAATCTGTTCGTCAAGCACTTGTACATCTGGCCCCGCTTCCATGCCACCGTTCGCGGCGCCCTGCAGCCGTGGCAGACGCAGACGATCGAGCTGCATGTGCCGCTCAGCCAGAGCATGACGGCCATTCAGACGCACATCCTGGACATAATGAACTTTCTGGTGCGGGAGATCAAGCGCATCAATCGCACCGTCGACATGGAGGCCGTTACGGTGGAGAACTGTGTGACCAAGAAGTTCCACAAGATCCTGCAGGCGCAGCTCGACTGCATCTGGCATCAGCTCAATTCGCAGACCAAGTTAATAGTGGCGGATCTCAAGATTCTGCGCAGTCTAATGATGTTGGTATCATAATTTAACTTCTATTTGATTTTTTACTAATAAATTGATGTATTCCTGTAGCTCCACCATGTACCACGATGCCGTGAGTGCCTATGCCCTGATGAAACGCTATCGCAGCACGGAATATGCGCTGAGTAACTCGGGATGGACGTTGCTAGATGCCGCCGAGCAGATTTTCAAGCTCTCCCGGCAGCGCGTATTCAATGGCCAGCAGGGTAGGCAAATCGCCTTGAATTTAAACCATTTCCCCATTTAATTCTATTAATTCTATGACAGAATTCGAGCCCGAACCCTGTCCCAAATGGCAGGCTCTCACCGATCTGCTCACCCAGGATATTCCCGGCGATATGCGACGCTGCAGGCGAACGGAGCAGCCGAAGGTTTTGATCCTCTGCCAGGATGCTCGCACCTGCCATCAGCTGAAGCAGTACCTCACGCAGGGCGGCCCGCGATTCCTGCTCCAGCAGGCACTGCATCACGAAGTGCCCGTGGGCAAGCTGAGCGACAAGTACGCCAAGGAGAGTCAGGGCAAGGGAGCTCAGTCTTCTACCAAGAAGGAGCCTCTCAAAGAGGAGCCTGTTTCTAGTTCCCAACCTCCACCCGCTGGCATGGATGAACTGGCGCAGCTGCTGAGCGAATCGGAGACCGAGGGCCAGCACTTCGAGGAGAGCTACATGCTCACCATGACGCAGGAGCCGCAGGTGGACATCAAACTCGATCCGGATGCCTCCATTTTCGAAACCATTCCAGAACTGGAGCAATTCGATGTGACAGCCGCCCTGGCAGCGGTGCCCCATCAGCCGTACATATGCCTGCAGACCTTTAAGACGGAGCGCGAGGGCTCCATGGCGCTGGAGCACATGCTGGAGCAACTGCAGCCGCACTACGTGGTCATGTATAATACCAATGTCACGGCCATTCGGCAGCTGGAGGTCTTCGAAGCCAGGCGTCGCCTGCCGCCCGCAGATCGCATGAGGGTCTACTTCCTGATCCATGCACGCACCGTGGAGGAGCAGGCCTATCTGACCAGCTTGCGGCGCGAGAAGGCGGCCTTTGAGTTGATCATAGACACCAAAAGTGTGAGTTATTCATTTAATTTAATTTAATTTAATTTATTTATTAAAAATCCCAGCGCTACAAGTGCACACTTACAATTAACGCGCTAGTTACATTGAGTTGATATTTTTAACTAATTATTATAATTACTTACTTACTTAATTACTAACATCAAATAATTTGTAGTTTTCTAATTACTATTATATTATTATTATAATTTTTTTTTTTAATAGTTACATAGTTTTTTTTATGCTTTTATTATTATTATTTTATTGTTATATTTATTTGAACCTATATGTATTGCGATTTTAAGTTATCTTTAACTTTATTATAAAATTGAGTTGCGCTCCTAATTGTCTTGAATTGGTGCGGTAGATTGTTCCATAGCCGAATACCATTTATGAAAAATTGCCTTCTCAAGGGCATATGTGATTTTTGGTCCTTTGGGATGTTGCTGGTGTAAGCTTATTGAAAAGATAATTTGGTTCTCCACTGGTCACTATTTTATGAAAGAATGTTAAAGATCATGTATTTTAAAATTAAATGCTACATATTTATTTGTTATATAAAATTAAATTCTCTGTTTTCCCCCACAGAAAATGGTGATTCCCGAGTACCAGGACGGCAAGACCGACGAGGCCTTCTTGCTGTTCAAGAACTACGACGACGAGTTGGCCGGCGAGAATGCCAAGAGTCGCCAGGCAGGCGGGCAGGCGCCGCCGGCGCCCAAGGAGACGCCCAAGGTGATTGTGGACATGCGCGAGTTCCGCTCCGACCTGCCCTGCCTGATTCACAAGCGTGGACTGGAGGTGCTGCCGCTGACCATCACGATTGGCGACTATATACTCACGCCGGATGTCTGCGTGGAGCGCAAGTCCATCTCGGACCTGATTGGCTCACTGAATTCGGGGCGATTGTACAACCAGTGTGTGCAGATGCAGCGGCACTACGCCAAGCCCATCCTGCTGATCGAGTTCGATCAGAACAAGCCCTTCCATCTGCAGGGCAAGTTCATGTTGTCGCAGCAGACGAGCGTGGCCAATGCGGACATTGTGCAGAAGCTGCAGCTGCTCACGCTGCACTTTCCCAAGCTGCGACTCATCTGGTCGCCCAGTCCGTATGCCACCGCGCAGCTCTTCGAGGAGCTGAAGCTGGGCAAGCCCGAACCGGATCCCCAGAAGGCGGTGGCCCTGGGCAGCGACGAGCCAACGGCCGGCGAGCAATTGCATTTCAACAGCGGCATCTACGATTTCCTGCTGCGGCTGCCGGGCGTTCACACGCGCAACATACACGGCCTGCTGCGGAAGGGCGGCAGCCTGCGGCAACTGCTGCTGCGCAGCCAGCAGGAGCTGGAGGAGCTGCTGCAGTCGCAGGAGAGCGCCCGGCTGCTGTACGACATCCTGCACGTGGCCCACTTGCCCGAGAAGGACGAGGTGGCCGGCTCGACGGCGCTGCTGGCGGCTGGCAAGCAGTTTGGCGCCGGATCGCACAATCGCTTCAGGAAGGCGGCAGCCGAGTCGCGACGCGGTCGCCGATAGAGTCCAAAGAGCCTGCAGAATTTAAAGGTTTTTGTATAATTTAAACTTTATATGTGATGCTTTAATTAATTACCATTTTATGTATTAATAGAGGCAAAGAGAAGAAGCTGCGGCAGAAGAATCAGGAGCTGGACAACCCTGCTCTGAAGTGCCGGGCAAACAGACAGCGCGAAATTATGGAAATTTTTTAAACGATGCAATTAAGTCGACTAGGGAATGGGCTGCCGATGCGAATGCGAATGCGGATGCAGATGAGGATGAGGATGAGTTGACTGTCTGGCCGTCAGACAACGTTGACAACCGGGAAAGCGCTGACCGCTGGGGATGCGACAACCGGCTGCCACTGCATCCACGACTGCATCCGTGTGCCATTGGGGATGAGCGCTTAAAAATCAATTTTCAATAAATTTTTAATTGCCCCCACACTGGCCGTCTGCAGCCACCCATCCCCCAGGACTTGCCACGCCCAGAACACCTGCAACATTAACAGCCAGGCATGTGATACAAGCAGCTACAAACGGAATTTTTCATCCACAGTTCAACTCGCCAGGAAAAGAGCGCCATTGTAAGATGTAAGCTATAAGCGTATTCAGTGAAAAAGTTAATTTCAGTTAAGGAAAGGCTTTTTTTTTTAATTGAATACAATTTAAATATATTAAATCTAGTTTCTATAAAGAAATGTGTAGTTAAGGCTAAAAATAAAGAGTTTTTCGCTTCAAATTCATTACAACATGGTATAAAATGCCTCAAAAATATATTCTGTAAATTATTTGTATTCCCATTATATTTTTTTATGGTCAATACAATTTCACCTAAGCCATATATTTTCAAACTGTTAGCGTTACGCCGATTGCACATTCAAAGCCTTCTTAGATTCAGTGCATAATTTCAAAAGCCGCAATTGGTTGCCAACTGAAATGAGCGAGGTAATTGGCATTCAGATTGTAATGAAGTGGAATGATGTGAATTTGAAGGGGGCTTTGAGAGCGTAGAACTCTGCATGGGTGCAAAATGTCCTAATATGGATAGCTCATTAAAGAGCGATTTGAATATCAATTAATTTTCATATATGCGAATATTTTATGCCCCACATTTTATTATTACTATCTATTGAAGAGTCTAAAAAATAAAAAATAATAAAAATTATAATAATTATACAAATTATTCTTTTTATTTAAGAAAACTTTCAATAAATTGAAGTGTTTGTTTTTTTTTCTTGGAAAAAAGTTTTCAAATGTAATATTCTGTTTTAAATATATAAAAAACTTTTACAGTATTAGCCTGGCTACAGGGCATTCGTACTTCGATGTGATCCCACTGCCTGATTTCCTTTTCATGTTTGCTTTGGCTCTCGCTTTTTGTTGCGGCTCATTGGGCAAAGCGCGCTTAGAGCGTGTTTCTGATTGTTGGCATTATCTCCGGGTCCGGTTGCCACCTCCACCGGAATGGGGCGGCGATTTCCCCCACACATACACATACACAGTGAAAAATATTTAATAATATTATAATATTTGTATACATTTTTTATTTATATGATAAAATATCAGATGTTGCAAAAAATCAATATAAAATAATATAGAACCTTTTCAATATGATGATAATACTTTTGTTGTCTAGAATTAATTATTATTATTATTTCTACATATTTTTGTAATTTTTGTAATACACCTACAATATTCTGATTTACGAAATATAATAAAATATATACAAATATAATATAATATGCGTCATATAATTTCATAAAAATATAATAATGGAAAAATAATATTTGTATAAATAATTTATTTATATGATTAAATATCAGAACATGCGACAAATAAATTAAAAATTTATAGAACCTTTTCATTACTTTTGTTGTTATAATTCAAATAAAATAAAATGGATTTCTTCATAATTTGGTTTACCTATAATAATAAGAATATATATAGATTATAATCTATTGATGATTGGATGATGAAATATCATATAAATATTAATATCCGTCATATAATTCCATATAAGATGAATTGTAAGTTAATATGTCTTTTTCATATTATTCAATCAAAAAACTCGACATTTGACCTCTGAATTTTATATTAATATTGTAAAATTTTCTATATGTGCACTTTTAAGCGCAAGTGAATGCAAGCCCAAAATCCAAAACTTGGCTTCCGTTGGCGGCTGGTCCTAGGACCTTTGGACTTTTGGACTTTCGGACTGGCTTTGTGGCCTTTCGATCTGAAACGATCCGCTCCGGTGTGTGTCAAAGCATATTTTCCAATTGGCTGCGCTTTGTGCCCGGGAAAATCGGAAAATGCCAGCGGGCCGACAGTCAGGCCCCCCTGATTTTCAGGAACGGGGGAAAACACATAGAGAGCGAGGCGGATGGCCGGATGGGGCACAATTAAAACTCCATTACAGCACGCTTCTTCTGCTACTGATTTTTGTTTGCCCCGGGGTGTCGGTTTTGCCCCCTTTGCCCTTCGCCTACGCCCGTCTCTTCGTTTTCGGCATTTCCCCAGTTTTCCATTTTCCATTTGCCATTTGCCATTTCCCTTTCCGACTTTCCCAGTTTCGGCCGCAACAAACGATTCAATCAATGGACAATGGAAACCTGAACCGAAAACCCAAAAACATTTGCCCCCATCTCCCCGTTTTTTTTCCACCCACAATGACAACGTTAATTTTCACTCACCGAAAACCAACTGAATCCTTGATTTGGTACATTTTCTTTTATTTTCCTGTGGCCGCTTGTTTTTGTTGAGGGATTTTCGAGGGGCTTCGGATAGTAACGAAACGTCGAAGGACTTAATTCTAGGGATTTTGGGAGGTGCAAGTGATTGTTAAACATGGGAATTCGGTGAATTAAATATTTCAATGGGTCAAGAGGTATTATTTCCTTTAAAGGGCTTTAAAGAAGAGACAGGATTTCAAGAATAATTCACTAATAATAATTTCAGCTACTTATTCCTCGCTATTTGCACTCTTAAGTAGTTTTCATTAATTAGTTAAATCCATCACTTGTATTAAAGTGGGCAAATTAAGCAACACAAACAAATTCAGTCGAGTGCAAAATGAAATTAGCTGAAATTCCTTGAATTTAATTGCACAAAGTTGTCTCGACTAATTCGATAATTGATCGGAATTAATTGCAAACTTTTTGCATACTTCATTCGAAATCCCAATACAAAGTCCATTATGGATTGGCCATGGCCAGCAAATTAAAAGCCGCATCGTTAACCGCAGGCATCATTAAATATTGGTGGAAATGGCGGGAGGAAGTGCCTGAAATTGGCATTCGACTTGTTACAAAGCGAATTTAACGTTTCAACGCCGGCGAATAAATTTAATTTAAAATACTTTCGCTTCCTGGACTTAATTTTCCTCCCATTTCAAGCCAAAAACGAAAACATAAATAAAAGCAATTATTTTATTTGACCATTTAGCATTTAGCATTTGGGCCTTTCGCACTTTCATTAGTCAAAGTCAAAGCCAAAAGAGGAATTATTTCCGGGGCGTTTTGCATCGATTTTTGGTTAATTTCATTAGGGCAGGAAGAGGAGGAAAATTGTTGGGCCATTTGACACATTTCATGGCCCGCATTTCCCCGGCTGGGAAAGCGAGGGAAATGCATCTACACTCAAAATAAATTTAACCCTAAATTTTAGAAAATCGCCCTAAAAATTTCTTTTTTCTAAATACAAGAAAGTTATTTCTAAATCTAAGGAAATTTTTCTTAAGTCAAGAAAGTTTTTCTCAAATCTAGGAAGTTTTTCTTAAATGTAGAAAATGGTTACCATGAACTAAAATCACCCTAAAATCTAGAAAAAATGTCCTAAACTTTAGAAATTATTTTCTGAAAAATAGAAAGGCAAACGAAAATAATAAAATATCTTGGCAACACCTTTTCTAAAAATTAGTGCCCTAACCCTAAAATGAAACCAACCCTAAATAATAGAAACATTTTCTAAAAAGTAGAAATTTTTTCTAAAAAATAGAAATATTTGTTTTCACATGCTCTGGCACACCAAAATGTTCAATCCCAGAACTTGTCAACTGCCGGCCGGCTGTACCCGTGGCGCAGACGGTTAAAGCACTTGGTTAGCAATCGAATCGACGCGGGTTCGAGTCCCAGAGCAAATTTTTTTACTTTTTTTTTTAATTTTTTTTTTTAATGTTATTTTATTTTTTTTTTTATTTATTTTTTTACTTTTTTTTATTCCTTTTTTTATTGATGGCAAGCGGTAAACTGAAAATAATTAGGTTCATATTCAGCTATTTACTATATACTACACATAATATAAATTGCGTTAGCATAAATATATACATATGTATATACGTATGTAAGTAAGTAAAACGCGAATGGTCAAAATTATGCAATTAGTATTCAAATGTGTTGTCCGCTTCACCCTTTACATACAATGCTCGGTTTGCCACAACAAATTTATGTGCTACAATGGCCCAGTATGTAGGCCGTTCGCTCCTCGCGCGGGAGACCCGGGTTCGATTCTCACGACGGACAAGTAAAAATTGTAAGTTTTTTTCATGAAGATAAAATATTAACTAATCATAATTTATACATTCCCCCATTCCCCCGCAGTCCCGTAGTCCACATTTACAACCACATTTGGCTTTGGTGCAAGTCCAAGTGCAAATACATAATAATAAATACATAACCTTTAACATTCACAATATACAAGACACACAACGCCTGCATATGTACATAGGGAGGAGTACATAATATAAACGTATATACAAAAAAAATCATGATTGAACATGTTTTTTTGTTTTGTTTTTAATTTCTATTTTTTAGGAAAATTTCCTACTTTTTAGAAATTTTTGCCCTTAAATTTAGTAAAATTACCCTAAAATTTAGAAATATGACGTCAAAAAAAATCAAAAATATAGAAAAATGTGACCCTAAAATTTAGGGCTAGCTTGTCTTGAAGACAAAAGTAGGGCGATTTCCTTGACTTTAGGGTTAATTTTATTTTGAGTGTAAGAAATTCTGACAGCCAGCTGTGCTCATAATACCTTTGGTATGTCCGTATAGCAAAACACTGTTGAAACTGTTGTTTTATATATATATATATATTTATTTATACGCCTTCTAAAAAAATATAGAAAGGTAAATATTTTTAAAATGTGCATTTCTTTCTTTAATTTATTTTAGAAAATTTAGAAATACTCTGAAGTTTTAATCATTCAGAATTTAGAACTGACAGGGCCTTTCCTTTCTTGTTAAAACCTCTATTAAATAAGACCTCTAGGGTAATTTACTTTTCGATTAGTGTGCCAAAACGATATGCATCTCTTTATCAGATTTTTCTACATGTTTTACTGATTTTCAACCGAGAGCTTCTCTTGAACTTTAGTTTGCTTCCAAGCCAACAAATGCATTGCTACATATATCCGGTTAGTACAGTAGTTCCTGGCTTAAAGGGGCGGAGAACAGGGACTCTCGGCCGTGCCTTTTTCAAGGCAAGACTGCTTATCATAAATGACAAATCTAGAAGTGAATGCGAATGCTAAACGACCAAACAACTAAATGGGCCAAGAGAGTAGGGAAATGGAAAATGGGAATGGCTGGCGTTCCAATTTTCCTGCATTTGGTGTAAATGTAAATGTAAACGATATAATCGCCCGTCTCCATCTTATTCGGTTGGTGTGGGGTGGGGTGGTGTTTGGGGAAAATTACCGCCCCAAAATGGGAAACACAGGACCTTAGTGGCCGAAAGTAATCGGGAGCCCAAAAACTTGTTCAAGGAGGAAAAAGGCGGTTCTTAAAGTCTTTTCTAATGGGCTGAATGGCTACCGATCGAAGATTTACTTATCGGACTAAAACTGGCAATTTCCAAAGCAGTTACCCAATCGTTATAGTTCACCCGAAATTCGTTTTTCATTTTTCATTCATTTTTTTGGAGCCACCAAATCACCCAAAATTTAATATGTGGTGATGTCGCGCTACCAGTACGCCGATCACATTTTGGAGGCCTTCAACGTGTTCCATCGACCACTTCTGCTCGACGAGGTGGCTAGCTATGTGGCCGAAATGGAGGCCAAGGCCGTCGATGAGGTGCGATTGGCGGTGGATAATACGCTGACCGCCGGCTGGATGCACGGCTTCCTCACCATGAAGGATGGCTTGTTTACGCTGATCTGCGGCTATTGGGACGAGGAGAAACCGGTGCAGGGCAAGAAAAGAGCACGCCACTCGACCAAACCGATGTTGAGGAGCTCTTAGCCGGTTCTCTATCAAAAATCACCTTTAAAAGTGCCAAGATATCTGTAAAAATAAACATAAAACGTGTGCCCACTAAAAGATTGTCGTGTGCCCGCTGGCATGGTTTGTGTCTTCGCTAAAACCAAAGACCAATTAAAGCGACTCTGGGCCTTAAATTCTTTCCAGCCGTAATGTCAATCAAAAACAAGGTGAACTCAACAGCATCTCTGGCCTTTATTTGCCCCGTGTCACCAGATTTCACCCGATGTCCTGACGCTCCTGGACGACAATTGTCCGACATGCTGCCGGCTTGTCGGCCCTCGGGGAATGGCAATGTTTCCGGGTTAGGTGACCGCACAGGGACTCATTTGGTGACCCAGTTCGTATTGATTTCAGCACGGCAAAGCCCATCATCCACCTTCGCCCGCCTCGTCAGAGGTGTCCACAGTGTGAACAAAGCACAAGACCGTTGGCTTTTATTGTTTGCCAGCCGATGGCCGGAATTGGGGAATTCCCAAAAGTCAGGCGACGGAGTTCCCATCGAGATGGAGTCTCCGATACGCAAAGCACCTATATAGCCCCAAATTGGGCTGTCAGCTGTCTGTAATTGTGTGAGTCTGACTGCACTGAAAATAAATAATATAAGGTTCTTAACTTCTAACAAAAATATTGTTTATGAACAAAAAAATGTTTTTAATTTTATTTTAAATTAGTTTACAAGTTCATTAAAATGTACGAAAAAAATTGTATGATAAGATTAATTTTATTTCCTTTTTTTATGAACCTGAGATTTGTGGTATTCACCTATTTCTCAATTTTGCCATCACAAAATGTAGAACATTTTTTTAAACCTACTCGACTATTTCTCTGAGTGTGCTTGTGCTGCGGTTAAATAGGAACTGCGCCAGCTTATAACGCAGCCAACTTCCACTTCCGCCTTCGCTTCCGCCGCTGCCGAAGGACGAAGGACATTCGCCGCAGTCACCACCCCCTTTTTGCCTTTCTGCTCGCCGTCCCTGTGCTTTTTTCGTGTCCTGCCCTTTGGCATTCGCCGAAACTATTAAATCACATTTTACGAGCGTTAAGTGCACAATTAAAAGCATTTCGTTAATGTGGAAAATGTGGCGCTGTCTTGGCTCGGACTTTCCGAAATTTCCCCCTCCCCCCGCTGCACAATTTTCCACCCCCCCTGCCGCCATTGTGATGTAATTAAATTTTCAGCTGGCAGGCCGCGCATTGCTTTGCGTTCACCTTGGGGCCACTTTTTTGGGGGCCATCTTCGGAGTTGGCACAACATTGGATTTCGGGGACCTGAAGTGGGCATTATCCGCTCAAAAAAGACGAGGTAGCCATTATCCCGGGTCTCCTGTGTGTCCTTGCTGCGAGTTAAACAAAAACAAGAAGGCAAACAAAAACTAAATCGATTATGGTTTGATGTAAATTTCCTTTTTGCCCCACCGGCCATTAGAAAGTTGTGGCCTGGGGCCCAAAAACTCCGCAGATTGTTCTTTAATCTCAGCTTAGGCCCGAAATCGGATTACGCAATCTAATTTACCAACTTATGAAGCGTTTATTAAATAAAAGCATGAATTTATTGATTGAGACTGCGATAAATAAAATATATAAAATTAAGTTACGCTAAAACTATTGTATTAAAAATTTATATTTTGTATTTTCCTGGGTCACCATCCTCTCTTTAAGGTCACCAACCCCCTCCACCTCTGCCTTCCCTCCATCACCATCGTCTTCATTAAGAGTAAAACGCAAACTAAGTAAGTAATTTGAGCCTTAGTAGGCGTGTAAAGTGCACACTTGATGTAGGACGTGAAAGTTGTGAGGGGTTCGTGGGTGATGGAATGCAACCACCCACCCCCACTGAATCACTACCCCCTCACGCATTCGCCTAAGTGCGGAAGCATGTTCAAGTGTGTTGGAAAATGGAGAGCAATGTGTTACTTTATTTTCCTTTCCTCCGATTTTTTATTTAACTTTTTTGCCTTATTTCTATTTTGCTTTCCTTGCGCTCATCACTCGAGATGACGTCACGCGCGCTTAGCTGTGGGCGTGGCCGATTCGCGGGCGGATGACATTTGACGCTACAAAGTTGCGCTGTCCCCTTACTAAAAAAGAAAAAAAAAAAACAGAAAAATAAAAAATGGAAGAAGGTAACAAGGTGAAGGTAAGCTAAGGAGAAAAAAGGACATCCCTAGCATTTGACATTAGGAGGAGTGCGATTAAAAGATATCTGATAAATTACAATACATTAAAAAGAAATAGGGAGTTCAAAAGAGAAGAATATTTCGGCTCCTGAAGAACTCGAATTATAAGAAAACATGTTAATGTTCAGAGGATACGAAGACTACAGCTCCTAAAGAACTCGCGTTTCAAGAAAACATTTTAATGTTCAAAGGATACGAAGATTTCAGTTCCTAAAGAATTCGCGTTTTAAAAAAACATTTAAATGCAAAGACCGTTTTCAGACCTTTAGCTTTGAAATACATTTTGAAACCTGATTTCGATTACCCTCGATAAAGGAGTATCCATCAACTTTTAAACCGCCCTCGTTGCAACTGCAATGGAGGCATATATAGCCTTAAGTTCCGCTTTCCGCCTTTCTCGACTTCGTCCTCGTCCTTCGTCTTTTTAGCGAATATGGCAGGGCTTCCGGCGTTGTCCTGATGGCCTGCTGTGTCCTTTGATATTCGGGGATGAGGCATCAGGACAAAAGGCGGAGGACGGAGGGCTCCGTGGCGCTTTAAAGGCGAAACATTTAGTTTGTTGCATGTTTGGACATGTTGCTCGCTGTACGTGACATTTTGCGGAAATGGAAATTGAACCCAGCTACAGCAACAAAGGGAGCGGCAGGATTCGCCAGGATATGGCCAGAGCAGAGATGAAGATGCCAGCGATTTCTTATAATTTGCATTGAAGTTTTGATTGCCACAAAGAGAGCAGCAAAGCGGAAAGAGACGAGCAGAAACAAATGCACGCCCCAAAGGAAATCGACAAGAAATGTGAATGTGAATGTGGAAAACAAAGCTCCAAATCAAAAGGGACACAAACGCCAAGAATGTGATATTTTGCATAAATTTTAAACTACATTTCAGTGGCTCAAAAACGTCATCAGTTTATTTATTTATTTACTTACAAAACTGTACGGTTAAAGTCAAAAAAGTAAAATATTTTTGAAATAAATAAATTAATTAAATCAAGGTAGAAAGTATTAAATGTAATATATTTCATATTTACTTTATTAAATATTTAAATGAACTATATTTGTTTAACTTAATATTCCTAATAATTTAATTGATTTCATTTGGCAAATTTCTTTCCTTTGCCCTCCACGAAGACGTCCGAACAATTAAATTGAAATCTCTGGAGTTTTATGAACAACTTCCTGCCATCAAATTTCATTACAGCCATAATTGTGCTAAAAGTTTCGACAACTAATTTCAAGGTCTCCTCGTCTTTCCACCCATCCACCCCCCGAAAAGCCGTGGCACATAGAGAATAGCAGCAGAATAAAAGCAAATTAAAGTTTGCCCCTGCCGGACATCGTCAAAAGGTAAGTTTATGTGCAATCACGGATTGCCATAAACCGTCTAAGTAATGAAGGAGTCACAGGATGATTTTAATCGAAGGGATCAGGCGGCACACGACCCAGCAAAAGCGTATCCAATTCGTTTTCCGGCCAGCTCAGTGTTGCCAGAAATAAAGATAGGAAAGGTGGCTTTAAAAATATTGGAATACGTAGAAAAGTGGCTAGATTATATATCAAATAGTTAATTATTATATAGAATATTTTAATATTTGTAAAGAAAATACATATCTTTTAAAAAGTCCAAATATTTCCGAAATTTCGAAAAGGAAAATAAATAAAATTAAAACGTACAAAAAAGGCAGATGCTTTGATTAAAATACGATTTTTAAATATACAATAAATTTTAAAATATGTGCCTAAAAGTAGGCAGTGAATAAAGGATAAGAGTCGTCCTTTATAAATTCATTTTCCTTTTGGCCTAAAGATATATTGTTGCATACTTTTGGACACCTATTTGTTGTCAAGTTATTTTTTGGAGTTACAAAACAGATAGATTAGCAGCTCTAGTGCAGGGCCTCCGTCCATTTTCCTGACTCCGGAGTCTGAACTTTCGAGCTTTTCTTTTTTTCCTCATCAGCCACTGCTGGTATTTCTCGGTTTTCTGTTGTTTCTGTCGTTTCTGCTGTTTCTGCTGTTCGTGTCTGGATTGTCCGGCGGTGGCTAAGTCTTAAGACCCATAAAACCCATGTAGCATAACTAATAGGTCTTTGGCCAGAGAGTTTTGTTTATTCTTTGCTATGCTTTTCTTTGCTTTTCCGCTTTCCCATCCCCCTTGCCCCCTTACCCCTCGATTGCAGTTCAATGCACGAGCGTTGAAATTGTTTTCATTATTTCATTTCATTTGGCCCGTGCCATGTGCACCTGTGAGTTATTGGCCAGGAATCGAGCCGTGGATTAAAGCCAAGCTGCCAACGGAAAACCCTGGAAAAGCCCTGGGAAAACACCTCCCTCTGCCTGCATGCTGTGGCAAAAAGTATGAGCCATTAAATAAATACCCGCTCCAATCTGAAAGGGCAAAGAAAACGCGTTGCTGGAAAAAAAAACGGAAAAGGGGGAAAAGAAAATATAGTAAAATGGAAAAACGTCGCCAAAGAAGTTCAAATAAAAATGCATAATTCAAACTTAATGCAAACCATGCGTGAGCAAAAGTGATGTTATATAATCACGTGCAGCTCAGCATGTGTTTTCTTATAAAAATTGTAAGGATACAATAATCAAAATGGTTTCCTTTTGGTTTTATGGAACTTCTTCACATTATATAATAATATTTTTTATTTTTCCAGGGTAATATAGAATTGGAAAATGTATATATATTTCTTTTATAATTATATATTACTTATAAAATATTTAATAAATTATTTATTATATTTTGAAGTTAGAGGATTTGTACACCAAGTGACCGTCATTAATACGAAAATATCCTTAACTTCTCACCGTGATCGTG